GAGATACTATTATGGCCATCTTTGGAAAATACATCCTGCCACAATAGTCAAATCCAATATTTGCTAATATTTTTTCATTTCAAATGCATGTTTATAATGACTTTAGAGTTAAAAGATCAAGAATTCTTTACCTGTGTACGTGAAGGGAGTTCAGGACTTTAGGAGTCTATGAACTGAAGGTTCACAAAAAAAAGGTTTTAAAAAGTATCTATTACTTTGACAATTGGCTGTTTCAAAACATTTTTCATCCCCCTTAAAGTCAAAATTGCTTAGGTGTTTTTTTCTTTCTCTTACTTTAAACTGGTGTGGTGGACCACTGGTGTATCTAGTTAGATTATGTTCAGTTTTCATTGTTGCCGCATGTGGAGACAATGTCAGTTTCCCATTGATAAGAATCAATGAAAACCAGGGGCACCTGGGTGGCTCAGTTGGTTAAGCCACTGACTGCCTTCGGCTCAGGTTGTGATCCCGGGGTCCTGGGATTGAGCCCTGCATCCTCCCTGCTCAGCAGGGGGCCTGCTTCTCCCTTTCCCTCTGCCGCTCCCACTGCTTGTGCTCTCCTGCTCTCTCTCTCTGTCAAATAAATGAAATCTTAAAAAAAAAAAAATCAATGAAAACTGGGGGCACCTGGGTGGCTCAGTCAGTTAAACGTCTGCCTTCAGCTCAGGTCGCAATCCCAGGAGGGTTTTGGGATCGGACTCCCTGCTCGGCTGGGAGTCTGCTTGCCCCTCTCCTCCCCGCTCGTGCTCTCTCTTGCTATCTCTCTCAAATAAATAAAATATATTTAAAAAAAGAATCAATGAAAATTTACCATGCTCTCTGTATTGATACAGAGGCTACATAAGAATTAAAAAGACAAGGAAAGAAAAAAAGAGAAAAGAAAAAGAAAGTAGGACAAAACTGTGTCCTTTGATCTTATTCTAAAGACTGAATGTGCAGAGATACAAAGTCTTGCTTTTTCTCTGGCAAGATTCTTGCTGATGGAAGCCTGAAGCCAACAGAGCTGAAGAAGCCTCTATGTCTGCCCAGCCAGAAAACATACTGGATAGTGTGAATTCTTTTTTGACAAGAAGGTGGCTTTTTTGAAAAGGCTTGAACCTTACCGAAATTTGGATTTGCCCCAGCACCAAAAAGCCTTATCTTATAAAATCTGGTAAGCGAAAGTAGTGATGTGATTGGAGAGGCCTTAGTGAAGCTCTCTGAACTCCTGATGGTTTGTGACCAGGAGCCAAACCCTGAAGGCCTCTTTTAGATGACATTCTTCTAGAATGGTTGATGTTTTTTCCTTGTTTTCTCTCAAATCAAGGTTTTAAAGGAATTGGCAGTTAGCCATTTTCTTTGAGCATGTAACCAAGTGAAATTCTGATGTTTCCTTAGTAAAGATAGTTCCTCTTTTGTGCCCTTTAAGAGCGTGCTGACGCCATTAAGATTCTTGTTTTGTGAACCCATTTTGGACACTGGAAAGACCATTGAGAGAGAAAACAGTGAAAAGTGGCTTGCCATCAAAACTGATGGCATACCTGGTAATACATCTGGTTTTGCTGTTTTGATGAAGAAGGAAGCTCCATAGGTCTCTATGAATCATTGCTTTTACATTGGCATCAAAGACTCTGCCAAAGATCATGAAAGAAGTCTTGTCTGATGTCTTGAAAGTCACACTTTATCCCAGTCAGGGCCTTGAATTACTGCCTTGTCTAGAGCTTCTCTTGCGAGATGGGAGTGGAATATAAGGTTGTTTTCTATTGCAGAGAAGTTCATTGATTCTCCAAAGAATAAGTCTCAAACCACTGGGGAATTCTGATTCCATTTGCTGTTACATAACTTTGTGAATCAGAGTTTCCAGAACACTTGTAGCAATCTATTGGATTGTTAAAACCACTGGCATGTTAAAAACCATTCTGCTTATTATTTTAGCTCTTTATTCAAGAGAAACGCTAGCATTCTTCTAATTGAAATTTATTTTTGTGGAATTAATTTTAATTTTTTCTTTTAAATTTAATATCCTTCCCTTTCTAATCTAAGCATCCTTTTTAAGTTTGGAGAGTTTACTCTGTTTACATTAATGTGTTTATTCATGTATTTTGCTTTATTTCTAATTTTCGTGTTTTCTATGTCTCATGCTTTGATTTTTTTTTCCCCCCTTCTTTTCTGGCTCCTAAAGTATTGGTTGAGTTTCCTTTATTTCCCTTTTTTCTAAACTTCTGGTTTGAAAATCACATTTTTTTTCTAATTTAGCAATTATTCTAATATTTTTACATGCATATTTGACTTAAATTCTCAAATTTACCCCATTTCCTCCAAGTGGTAGGACTTCAAATCTCTTTAACTCAGGTTTCTCTCTCCTGTTACTTCTCTTATTTTTGTTCTACCTTGATTTTACTTAACCTCCCCTCTCCCCACCCCCAACTTTGTATATTTTAGGTTTCTTTATAGTCAAGACTTATTTAGATTTACTTATTATTATTATTATTATTATATTATGATTCTTTTTTGCATACACTCCTTATTGGGGTATATTTCTAGTGGTTCTTTCAGCAAGGGCTTGTTTAACCAGTTTTTTTTTTGTCTTTGGCTGAAAATGTCTGTCTTGCCCTCACTTTTGAAATATCATTAGGTAGATATAGAATTAAATATTAGTTTTTTTCAGCACTTTGAAGATTTCTCCATGGTCCCCTGGCCCTGATTCCTCCTGATGTCATGTCTGCGTCAGCATAATGGTCTCGCCTTTCTGGGTAATCCGTTTTCTCTCTGATTTTAAGGTTTTCCCTTTGCCTTTTACGTGTTCTGCATCCTGCACAATGCAAGGACCAGGATATACAGCAAACTTCTTTACTGCTTCCCCAGCCAGAGGATAGAGTTTGTGGTCCTTTTTTCACTGATTTCTTGCTGTAGCACCTCCTGGGCTCAGGGTTCTGTGGAGGGGCTTGTCCCAGTACCCCAGTCTTAGATACTGAAGATGTCGTCTTCCATTTTCCAGTGGGGATTTAGGACCTCAACTCCTAGGGCCTGTATCCAGGTCGCAAATCTCCGTGGGCTTTATACATCAGTTTATTCTTTTGGCTCTGATTCGATTTTTCTCTTTGTTCCTGGCACCTGGGAATCTTTTTTGTCTTTTTGGATTCTCCATTTAACATGTGTTTAAGAGTAGGAAACAAAAAAATGAGAGTCTTGAAAACAGGAGATTTACTTTTCTACCTCAGGAGATTTCCAGAGTGCTATTCTTTTTTTTTTTTTTTTTTAAAGATTTTATTTATTTATTTGACAGAGAGAGACACAGCAAGAGAGGGAACACAAGCGGTGGGGAGTGGGAGAGGGAGAAGCAGGCTTCCTGCTGAGCAGGGAGCCTGATGCGGGTCTTGATCCCAGGACCCTGGGACCATGACCTGAGTCAAAGGCAGATGCTTAACTGACTGAGCCACCCAGACACGCTTCCAGAGTGCTATTCTTAATGTTAGTTGAAGTGTTTAATAATGTCCAGAGCTCTGAGTTCTTATTGACTGATTGACTGACTGCTTTATTTGACCAAGAAATTAAAAGTGACATTTTGTTATATACACAGCCCCTGTGGACTGATACCCTTGAGCTCCTGTTTCCTGTTTAACCTGAGTCTATCAAAGCCTGCAGCCACCCTAGGCATGACTAACGATCTTGGAAGATTTTTTTAAAATACTTCTTTAAATGAATCTTTCTATAGAAAGACTCTTTGCCATAATCTAAGGTAGTGGTTTTCAGAGTATGGTTCCTAGATCCTCAGTACCAGCATTATGTGCGATTATGTAGTATACATTGTTCCCTTGTAGATATTAGATATTCTTCTTTGTCATGCGTTTTTTAAAAAAAAGATTTTATTTATTTATTAGAGAGACAGAGGATAGCAAGAGAGAGCGCAAGCAGGGAGGAAAGGGAGAAGCAGGCTCCCCGCTGAGGGCTCTATCCCAGGACACTGAGATCATGACCTGAGCCGAAGGCAAACACTCAACTGAGTGAGCCACCCAGGTGCTCCTGTCATGCTTTTTAAATTAAAGTTTGATAAAATATTTGGATTGGCACTTTGTTTTTGTTTTTTTAAAGGTTTTATTTATTTATTTGACAGAGAGAGAGAGAGCCAGAGCAGGAACACAACAAGCAGGGGGAGTGGGAGAGGGAGAAGCAGGCTTCCTGCAGAGCAGGGAGCTCAATGTGGGGCTCAATCCCAGGACCCTGGGATCATGATCTGAGCCGAAGGCAGACGCTTAATGACTGAGCCACCCAGGCGCTCTGGCACTTTGTTCTTAATTTAATTTATTTAATTAATCTCTACACCCAACGTGGGGTTCAAACTCATGACCCCAAGATCAAGAGTTGCATGTTCTTCTGACTGAGCCGGCCAGGTGCCCCAAAGTTTGATAAAACGTTTGAACTAATAGGTGGTCCAGTGATGGGTACTTTTTATAAATAAAGTATGAATTTTATGGCTTGATTTTTTTTTTTTATACAGAGAGTACTTATTAATTCTGTGGTATAAATCATGTTAAATACTCTGATAAAAATGATACATATGTTGGTATATCTATGATTTCCTTATACTTGAGCATTCTTTATTTAAAAAAAAGTTTTTAAAAGTTGAGTGTTAGATGTGGAATGAAGGAAATGTTTTATATCTGTAAATTAATTGCCTTATCTTTTTTTCATAATCTGCCCACCCCAAAGCTCAGAAAAGTCACAGTATTATTATGTAACTCCTTTTAATGATCCCCATGGATTTAAAACACAATTGGCATTGTTACACTTCCTTCCATAGAGAAAATGTATGCTTTTTAAATAAATGTAATATGCTTTTGTTCATGAAGAATGTCATTGAGTAGTGCCAACTATTTTAGGATACTAAAATAAAAATATTTACAATCCAAAAATACTTTAAGATTATTCTTAGAAAGATGTTCCATTGTTTTTAGTCTATTACTTAATCTTATAAAAGTGCTATGAAAGGGGAGGAGATGGCCGTCCCAGCAGTGTCCAGGCTGTCCCGGCAGCTCAGCCAGTAAGGGGTAGGTAGAGCTGAGGTTCGAACCCACACAGTCACATAGAAGATGGAGTTGGATGGAAAATTCGTGCTCTTTATACTACATATCAACACTATGCTTTGCATATCATGACACCTTGCAACTTAGGTGCGATGCTTAAGTATGACTGTGGTCAGGCTGTTTTCCAAGTTTGTGCGGCCACCTGTTCAGGTATATGGTATCAAAGGTCGCTATGCCACTGCTCTTTATTCTGCTGCATCTAAACAGAATAAACTGGAACAAGTAGAGAAAGAATTGTTGAGAGTAGCGCAAATCTTGAAGGAACCCAAAATGGCTGCTTCCATTATGAATCCCTATATAAAGCATTCCGTGAAAGTGAAAAGCCATGACATGAGCACAAAAGAGAGGTTCTTTCCTCTCACATCCAACCTGATCAATTTGCTTGCTGAGAATGGTCGCTTGGACAATACCCCTGGAGTCATTTCTGCCTTTTTGACCATGATGAGCATCCACTGTGGAGAAGTACTGTGCACAGTGACCACTGCATCTCCTTTAGATGAAGCCACTCTTCCTGAATTAAAAACGGTCCTGAAGAGCTTCCTAAGTAAAGGCCAAGTCTTGAAATTGGAAGTTAAGACTGACCCATCAATCATGGGTGGAATGATTGTCCGTATTGGAGAGAGATACGCTGATATGTCTGCGAAAACCAAGATTCAGAAGCTCAGCAGGGCCATGCGGGAAGTTTTCTGAAAGTGTTGATTTTCTGTCAGTGAAAATTCCTAAACTTGGAGCAACAATAAAATGCTTCCTAAACAGAAAAAAAAAGTGCTATGAAAAGCAAACTACATGACATTTCAGAGTTCAGAGATTTGATTAGATCATTTAAATAAAGTTTTTGCCAAAGAACTGAACACATGAAATGAATGGTAGCATCATTGTGAAGATTTTCAATACTCATGAGACTTATAATTAATTAAGTACTTTATTTTTTTTTAAAATACTTTATTTGAGAGAGAGAGAGAGAGCACAAGCAGCGGGGAGGGCAGAGGGAGAGGGAGAAGCAGACTCCCCGCTGAGCAGGGAGCCCGATGTGGGACTCGATCCCAGGACCCTGGGATCACAACCCGAGCCGAAGGCAGACTCTTAACTGACTGAGGCGCCCTAATTGAGTACTTTAAACAAAGCCCACACTGTGCCTTGTATATAGGAGTGTTCAGAAAATGTTGGCTGAGTTTAAATGACCAAGTTAATCTTGACCTGTTAACCTAGTAGCATAATGTTCTCTTTTTCACTTAGTAAGCTACTCTTAGATACGTTAGATATTGTGAACTGGCCCTCAGTGCCCTAGAAGGTAATTGTAAGATGTAAACATGGAGGACAGTGAAGAAAATATTAAATATTAGAGGAAAATATTAAGTCTTAGAGGAAAATATCCTACTAAGTATTGATAAAACCAGTCTATAGACATGAAGTTTTTTTTTTTTAAGATTTTATTTATTTATTTGACAGAGAGGGACACAGTGAGAGAGGGAACACAAGCAGGGGGAGTGGGAGAGGGAGAAGCAGGCTTCCCACGGAGCAGGGAGCCCGATGCGGGGCTCGATCCCAGGACCCTGGGATCATGACGTGAGCTGAAGGCAGACGCTTAACGACTGAGCCACCCAGGCGCCCCTAGACATGAAGAATTAAAGAAAAGATAGTTGTTTAATAGATTTAAAGATGAATATTCACCAAAAAAAGACGATCTAATTTAAAAAGGGACAAAGGACTTGAATAGACATTTCTCCCAGGAAGGTATTCAGATAGCCAATAAGCACATGAATAGATTTTCAACATCATTAGTTATTAAGGAACTTAAAACCCACAGTGAGATACCACTTCTCATCCATTAGAATGGCAATAATAATAATAATAAAAGGAAAATATCAACTGTTGATGATAATGTGGAGAATTTGAACCCTCATACATTGCTGGTAGAAATGTAAAATAATGTAGATGCTGTGAAAAATATTTTTGTGGTTCTTCAATAAGTTAGACATAGAACTCCCATCTGACCCAGCAACTCTGCTCCTAGGTAAATACCCAAGAGAACTGAAAACAGGTGCACAAATGTTTATAGTAGCACTATTCGTAATAGCCAAAAAAGAGAAACAACCCAGATGTCTATCAGCTGATAAGTGGATAACCAAATGTGGTATATCCATACCATAGAATATTATTCAGCCATAAAAAAGTGAAGTACTGACACTTGGTACAATATAGATGAACCTTAATGATATTAAGTGAAAGAAGCCAGATACACAAAGCCACATATTGTATGATTTCATTTACTTGAAATGATCAGAATAGGTCAGTCTGTGGCGACAGTTAGGAGATTAATGGTTGCCAGGGGCTGGGATGAGCAAGGAATGAGGAGTAGCTGCTCAGTGGGTATGGGGTTTCTTTTTGGGATGATGAAAATTTTCCGGAATTAGACAGTGGTGCTGGTTGTACAACATTATGAATGTTCTGGAAGTCACTGAACTTCCAGTACATGTCAATAAACTTTAAAATGGTAAAGTTTATATTATAGGAATTTTAGCTCAGTAAAAAAGAATATTCAGTGTGATTATAATTCTCAGTGAGATATTAAAGTAAGAATTTTAAAATCAAAGGAAACTTTATTTCAACATTGTTATTTTGTGCTTACAAAAATTACACGTTTCGTGAAAATATGTATGAAGTCAAATAAATATTCTTTAGAGCAGGTTTCAATACAAGGTATGTGTGTTTTGGGCATCATTCAGAGGGATTTTGCCAGGTAGAATAAAGTACTAGGAGGCAGTCTCATGCTGGGTACTGTGATTAGTACATTGCTTTTTTTTTTTTTTTAATTAAAAAAAATTTTTATTTATTTGACAGAGAGACAGCGAAGGAAGGAACACAAGCAGCGGGTGTGGGAGAGGGAGAAGCAGGCTTCCTGCTGAGCAGGGAGCCGGACTCAGGACTCGATCCCAGGACCCTGGGATTATGACCTGAGCTGAAGGCAGACACTTAACAACTGAGCCACCCAGGCGCCCCTAGTACGTTGCTTTTTAACTGGCTGGCCCTCTTTGTAGTCATGAGCAGTGTCTCTCAACTGTTTGCACTTTCCTTGCCATCTTCTCCTAGATCTGCTTGACTGCTTACTGTTGTGAGCTTCATGCATGCCTTTCTGACCTGAAACTATGTACTGCTCAATTAGCATTAATAGGGTCTCTATCGTTAACTAACCTACTCCTTCACTGACACTGTTTCCAGCCACTTTGGATAAACACCTGGTTTACCTTGCTTCCCCATGGTCCTGTTCAGTTATCTAGATCCTTTTACGTTTCAGCATTCTCACTTCTTCGACCTTGCCAAGGAAACCTGGACAGCAAGGACCCCAAAGACAGGAATAGGGGGAGGGGTGAATGAGAGCTAATGAAACAAAGGCCCTGTCTTCTTTGTGAAATCTGTTAGAAGAGGAACTGTCCATAGATGTGAGCAGTATGGTTCCATATAGACCTGCTATTTCCAGAAATCAAACATTATTTAATGTTTGTTGTACAGCTTATCTAGTAAATTTGTGTTTTTATTCAATGTAGAACATATAGGCTGTCTTGAGAGTAGTTATTTCTTTCCCAAAATATATTCCACAGAATACTAGTCCCTGGTAGTATTACTAGAAGCTCTGCTTTGGAAGGGGGAGGATCCCACGGTCAAATATATTTTGAAAATGCTGCTTAATCCCCTCTTGGAAGTCCATAGCACACTGTAGCCTTTAAGGTCTCTGAAACATAGTCAAGAAACTTGTTTGACTTAGCATTTCCAAACTTACTTGAGCCCAGAACTTTTGGTGGGGAGGAAAGAGACAGCATAGCTATTAATATCTTACATAATAATATCAGTTGGGAAGACATTGTCTTAGAGCATTGTAAATTTCTACAACTGCAGCTTAAAAAAAAAGTAGCTGTATTTATTTACTTATTTATTTAAGTTCCAGTTAGTTAACATATACCGTTCTATTATTTTTTTTTTTTTTAGTTTTTATTTTAATTCCAGAAAGTAGCTACTTTTACCGGCTAGTACCAAAAACTACCTGTACTTCATATGTTCTATGTAGTATACATCATATGTATATAGTTAACCTATAAATTCTCTATCAAGATAGACCTCATTTTTTCCCCTTTCCTTACAAGTATCAGATTGTTGTCTTTCAATGATTTTCTTGTTCTTTCTTCCTTAATCATATCAAAATATTCCTTTGAAAGGGTGACTAAAGCACTTAGGACATTCCCAGTTTTAAATAAGTCAACAGCTCTGTTAAAGCTGTAGTACATATATTTGTTGAGCCTGTTATAAAATTTCAGACTCGTCTAATTCAAACACCCTTTGAAATCCAAGTCATGTTTTCATTTACTAAGGATTTTTGTTGAGACAGGCCCTTTCTTAAAAAAGTAATTAGCCTTGGATGTAGAAGGTATAATTAATAAATAAGCACAATTCATTACTTTGTTAATTCTTCTCTACAGAAAAGAGCTGGCACTCAGTGTTTATCCTTTATTAACATACAAATATGTAGACACTGAAATTATGTATCATAGTATATTCCTATGAAATACATAGTAGGTACCATTTTTTCTCTTTTAGGTGTTAATTAGTGTAGTATTTTAGCTTTAAAAAGTTTTAGCCTTTTCATGTACTTGAATTTCTTTTCTCTATAATATGCCTCTCATTACATTGTCTTTCTTGTTTTTGAGAACTTTATAGTTTATAATGGATATCGCTAATATTCATCAATAATCTGTGAGGCTCTCTTATTATAGATGGGATAAGATTAGATTGTTGTGGCTTGCCCCTTTTTTTGTTGTTTCTTTAGGCACAGTGTTTGAATCTAATGGGGAAATAAAGCCTCCGGCATTGTGGCTTGGATTCCTCTTGTGTGTTTTAGGGGTATATTATATTTCCATTTAGATCTCCTGCTCTGTCTTCTGACTGATGATGACCCAGGTTTCTGTTCAGAGTTGTTTCTGGGTGGTTGGCTCCTGATCCCGTACAAGTCAGCCCTGTCGGGCAGTGATAGAACATGGTCTTTCAGAGATCTGCCCAGATGAAGTAAAAATGACTCGCAGGTGAGTTCCTGATGAACCAGAACAGATCTTCTCTCGCAAGACCGTCTTGGCATTGCGACAAAGCATGAAGTGAAAGCTTTTTGTTTTTGTTTGAGTTGGCTTTAAGACTAATTTTAATGTTGTTTGCTTAGAAATTAATGTTCTTCTCTTGTATTTGCTTTTTCTAGTCACAGGCAGCCTTTCTTCTCAAATGGTGTCGTGTACTTTGCATTGTTAGATGTGATCTACTGGCTCTTATGGCAAAATATTTTCAGTTCTGTACATATTTTGTTGTTTGAATTAGAGGGAGTTTGAGAATGAAATTAGAATTGCTACTGTAATCTTTTTTTTTTTTTTTTGTGATGATGAATTCCTGAAGTCAATATCCTATTTGTCTGTTTGGAAAAATAGTAACCCATAATGATACACAGATATATATCCCTAGCAAACAGGTGATTTATCCACTGGAAGTTTTATCTTTAATACTGTTTTTGGTCAGATTCTACTCTCCTATATATATTTTGATGGTATATAAAAATTTAGAGAATAAAATAGCTTCTTAAAAAAGGCTTTCTATGGAGTGTCTGGGTGGCTGAGTCGGTTAAACATCTGCCTCCTGCTCAGGTCTTGATCCTGGGGTTCTGGGATTGAGCTCCAGTGGCTGCCTTCCTGGTCAGCGGGGAGTCTGCTTCCCCCCCCCCGCCCCCCACTCATGCTCTCTCTCCCTCTCAAATAAATAAATAAACTCTTTAAAAAAGGCTTTCTAGCATGATCGTGAGCAAGAACTGGGAATTTCAATTCTTGTTTTTTAGTCTTTGCTCTTCCATTCTGTAATTACA